AGGGCTTAGGCATTAGACCAGAGACCCTGTGGCTAACAGAAGAAAAAGCAAGCCCAAATCTATATTATGTCAGCTTAGGACCTGACTTCCATAATAAGACTCCTATAGTGTAAGAAGTAAAATTAAGAATCAATTAATGAGATAGATTCAAATTAAAAAGCTTCTTCTCAGCAAAGGAAACAATCAAGAACATGAAGAGAGAGTCTACAGAATGGGAAAAAAATCTTTACCACACACACCTCAGATAGAGCACTAATCTATATAAAGAACTCAATAAAGTTAACAACAAACAAAGAAACAAAAAAACCAACCCAAATAAATCAATCAATGAATCGGCAAAGGAACTGAACTGACACTTCACAGAAGAACAAATACAATCAATCAACAAATATATGAAAAAATGTCTACCATCTCTAGCAATTAGAGAAATACAAATCAAAACTCCTCTTTAAGATTTCATCTCACTCTATTCAGAATGGCAATAATCAAGAATACACTAACAATAAATGTTGGTGAGGGAGGATGTGGGGAAAAGGCACACTCATACACTGTTGGTGGGACTGCAAATTGGTGCAACCACTATGGAAAGCAGGATGGAGATTCCTCAGAAAAGTTGGAATGGAATCACCCTTTGACCCAGCTACCTCACTCCTGGGTTTATACTCAAAGGGCTTAAAACCAGCAAATTATAGTGATGCAGCCACATCTCTGTTTACAGCAGCTCAATTCACCATAAATTATGGAACCAACCTACGTTCCCTTCATGGAATGGATGAATGGATAAAGAAAATGTGGGGGGCTGGGGCTGTGACTCAGCAGTAGAGCGCTCGCCTAGCACGCATGAGGCGCTAGGTTCGATCCCCTGCACCACAAAAAGAAAAAAAATGAACAAATAAACGTTTAAAAAAATTTAAAAAAAGAAAACGTGGTACATATACACAATGGAATATTACTCAGTCTTGCAGAAGAATGAAATGAGGGCATTTGCCAGTAAGTGGATGGAACTGAAGAATATTGTGCTAAGCAAAATAAGCCAATTCCCCGAATACCAAAGGCCGAATGTTTTCTCTGGTAGGCAGATGTTAGTTCACAATAGGAGGAGGGGTGCTAGGGAAGAGGGGAGTGAAGTGAGGGGAGGGGTACTGGGTAGGAAGGATAGGAGAATGCATCAGACACCATTACCCTACGTACATATGTAAGTACATGACCTGTGGGATTCTACATCATTACAACCAGAAGAAGGAGAAGTTATACTCCATTCGTGTAAGATGTGTCAAATGCGTTCAACTGTCATGGATAACTAATCAGAACCAACAAAAAAATACAAAAGTCATATAACAAAGACCTGCTGATAATTGCTAATTTGTTGACAAGAGAGTTGACAGGAGGCATGAAAATAAGATCACTTTAAGTTGGACACTTCAATTACTTTGTAAGTAAGATGAAACACGATGCCCGGGAATTCCTGGGACATCAAATGTGGGTTCAAGGGGCAGCTGGGTTGGGTTTGACTGTTTGGATTTGGTTGTTGAGATCCGCCTCTTGCCATCAGTCCCAGCTTTGACAAGCCCCCTCCCTCTGGAGAGCCGCCTCACCCCTCCCACAGGAAGGGCTGTCACCCTGCTACCGCGGCCTGGACCGGCGGGCTGCCCATGCGGCAGTGCCCTTGGTGTGTGCCTGTGGCCCTGGCCCTCCTCTGGGTCTTACGTAGAGCCGCAGCACCCACGCTGCTGGAGTCCTGAGCCCGCCCAGGTTGTCCGGTGCAGTGCAGCCGTCTGAACCCTCCCGTGGCCTGGGTGGCCTTCCAGCACGCACACACACCTCACATCTGTCTTACAGCACCCCTGGAGGCAGGACGGGCGTGTCCTCACCTTACACAACCGCCCCAAGTTCTGCTGCCCCTGAGCAGAGGTCGGTTCTAGCGGGGAGGTGGAGCCGAGCTGAAGGTCACCACCTGGTGCTGATGGCGCCTCCGATCCTTTCTCACGTGGATGCTCCTAGAAACCTGATAGCATCTACCCAGAGCCCAGAGGAACTTTGTCCCCAGCACTGTCTCTTCTCTGGCTCATCCAGTTTCCCTAAAAACCATGTATTCCCCGCTGCAGGCCTGGCTTCTCTCTCCCTGTGAGAAGGCGTTGAAGCCTCAGCCATCTGGCCTCCCTGGCTGTGATACTGTGTGTGGCCCCCCACGTGCCTGTTAATAAACCCACCTGCTTTCCCACTTGCTGCTCTGCCAGTTCATTTCAGCAGACTCAAGTATCGGCTTCAGAGGGAAAGCCTGAACTTGCCCCAGGATGCTGGGAGATCGTAAGGAGGGGTCAGGGTCCACTTCCATAAAACAATGTGAAAAGCAAAAGCATTCCAGGAAAGCAGGAGCGGTGCCTTGTGATCGCAGAGTGCGACAGGTGCCTGCACAGGCCTCGCCATTCAGAGTGTGCGACCGTTTCATGCTTCCACCCTTGAGACGCAGGAGAGGACGGCCGGGTTAAGAGGTTCAGTCGGAAGCAGGGGTCAGGGAAGGCAGGGGTCACCCATGTCAGCACAGTGCTGGGCATCGGCCCCTGCTGCTCCGTCCTGGGGTGTCCCCCGCTCTCTGCTGGGCTTCCCTGCATCCCTCCCACCCAGCTTCCTGGCCAAGGAGTTAGAAGGGGCTGGGGACAAAAGAACTTGGGGACATGAGGTCATCGACCGTGGGAACCATCTGTTTGTATCAGCTGAGGAGGAGAATGGGATCAGCCAGACCACAGGGAAGATTTCAGAAGCCCATGGACCCCAGAACGTCCCATGTCCTGGCCACTTTGCCACTTGCTACAGGCTGTTCTATAAACCACAGTGAACATCACGGTTGGCCTCGGGGGCTCAGGTCACCTTAGCTCCTACACAAGCTCAGTTTCTGGGACCAGAACAGCAAGAGGCCAGCCGGTTGTCATCTGGGCAGTTACTGTTCTGTGCTCCCTGTCCTCTGGGTCACTGTCACCTGCCAGCTGCAGAGGGTTCTGCGAGTGCTGGACCCTGCGGAAGGCCTGCCTCACTCTCAATACCTGCTTGTGACAACGTAGGGCAGGCAGAGGTTCCTCCGCGGTCTCACAGAGGACCCCGATCTAGGCTGCTGGAGATCATCAGCTTTAACTTGGAGACGGAGCAATTAAAGCGCAAGACATTTAAATGACCCATCGGCTCAATGGCAATCAGAGAAGCTCCCGCTCGGACCTGTGCTGTGGGCCCTGGCGGCATTCCTTTCTGAAGTCTGTTTCCAGAGCATTTAAATGTCGCTTTGAGAGAAGAGTCAGGAACCAATCAGGCTACAGACACCCAGGGCCCAAGAAATGTTTCTTAAGTGCACAGGTGACATTTTAAGGCCAAAAGACTTAGTGTACAGCATAAGCCAGCTCATGTGGAATTGAGGACCTTCTTCACCCACGGTGGTTTCAGTCAAAATACACCATCTGTCACCAGCTGTGGATTTCAGGAAGAGAGGGCAGTTGGACTCCCGTGGCTCCTCACTAGGTGCAGCTGTGTACTCCACCGAGCCAGCCCTCGCCCAGGGTCTCGGGGCACCCTGACACTCAAGGGTGCACTCCACACAGGCAGAGCAACATGGGAAAGCAGGCCTGTCCCCTTGGTGTCTTCAAGGAACTAATTCTACCAAAGACGACTTTCAGTTCAAAAACCTAGGTCCAGGGCTGGGGTGTGGCTCAGTGGTGGGCGCTTGCCTAGTGTGTGTGAGGCACTGGGCTCCATTCTCTGCACCACGTACGGACAGAGTAAAGTTACACTGACAACTAAAACTCATAACAAAACACACAGGTACGTCAGCTCTTTCCAGGTCTTAGTGTGCAGAATAGGATTTAGTTCAATGAAGCTCTCGTGTGGGATGGCACCGTCGTCCCGCCCTGAGAGGTCTCCCTCACGTGAGCTTCCCACAAGGCAGGACCGTTCAGTACAAACCTCAGTAAACGCAGCTTTAGGAGCAAAAAGAAGTGAAGTAGATGTATGTGGAGAGCAAGCTCAATGTCCTGTGGGAGGGGATGGAGGGAAGCAGTCCTCCTCAGGGGCTGGACTGGGCTGGCCCACAGCGGAGGCTGTCTTTCCTCCCCTGGGTCAGGGGCCTGCGGCCCAGCACCAGCCACCTCCAGGACTTGGAGAAGCCCATAACACCTGGATGATTCTTCCCGGGGTGTCTTCCAGTCCCAGATGGGAGATCCCCCAGGTCTCTAGGTGTCTGATCCATAGCAGAGCCATTTTATGATCATTCTGACTCAGAATCCCGGTCTGTGTCAGTTTACTGCTTGCATAGATTTAGCCTTGGTCTCTTCCTGTGAATTCCTCATTGTCTCAGACAAGAAAATGGTCAACCCCCAAAAGTACATTTACTTCTTCTGATACTGAGCATGAGCATATCGTAAACAGCCAAAAAAAGTTGATTTTCTTTAAATTGATCTGCTTTAGTACATAACTTCAGTTAATGCTCCTAATGTTTTTACACACGAACCCAAAATCTAATGACATTTGAAATCCTGGGGGGAAAAAAGCTCTCCCAGACCCTAAGGCAGGGGTACCCTGGTTGACTTGGCACTTGTTTTAATATCACTTAACATCATCAGGTACAGTCACAGGGCTTCAGTTAATGTTCCCTGTGCACGAGGACACGTCTCTCTCTTTAAATGGGGGCTCTCTGGAAATACTCTGTAGGCATAATTGCATTGTTCTGTAAATGTGTAAAAGCCTCAGGGCTTTATCTCCCAATTATATTTGATATGCAGTGCTTGCTTCAACACCTGCAGAGAGAGTCCCGGACGCTGGAGGAAACAGCTTTCATCTTATTAAATTAATGTCGTTTCCATTTCACATTATCTTTAGTTGCTCAGCCTGTAGTATTACAAGTTTATTGCTTCTCCTTGGCTATACTAAAACTGGAAACCTAAAGTCATTTTCTGCTTTACTGACTTGCAGCAGGAAAAAACTCTGGAATTCTCCTGGTCATTAGAGAGAGTACTTACAATTTTTTTGCCTTCTATTAACACTGTAGACTCATTTGTCTCGACGTTCCGCAGTATCACAGAGCCTTCCCGTTCTCTGTAGATGAATTCTTTATCTACAGGGAAGGAAATAAGAGAGAGACATGAACTATCAACCAACTCGCCTCTGCTTCTGATGGACACTTACATGAAATGGTTCTGGATGATATGCAGCTTTTTATCCACAGGCCCTTCAAGTTCAGACAGTGGGCCCCTCTCTGCTAGCAGAGTCTCTACGGTCCTTCTCTCTGAGCCCTTCCTGCCCTCCAGGAGAAAGGCACCAGCACTACGTGCACACAGTCTGTGGAAGGTGCTAGAATGTTCTTGGGCAAGAATTGCACAGTGGACATTGAGTAGATGAAGAATTCATGTTCACAGGGTGGAAGCAGAAGTGGAGGGATTCATCTCCTGCAGCTGAGACCTGCATTGAACCTGCCCATGCACCCGTGCTCTGCAGGACTGGCTCTCACCCTGACCACAGCCTCCTCCTGCGATTCGGGGAGGTTCTGTCAGTTCTGCCACCATGGACACCTGGAACCTAACACTATCCTGTCAGTGGCTCCAGTATTTGCATATAATTAACCAAGATTTCAGTTATTCCCTGAGAAAATTAATAAACACATAGTAAATAGTGTGCGTGTGGGTGTGTGTCCAAACACCTGTGGTGCATGGGAGAGTAGAGTTCTGAAAGTGGACTGGGTGGAGAGGCAGGGCAAGCCTGGGTGGAGGGAAAGACATCTTCCTGGGCAGAGAGGGGAGCTGTGGGTAGGCTGAAGGCAGAGGCCTTTCACACTGAAAGCTGCCAAGGACAAAGGCCGAGCAGACGGGGTTAACCCAAGAGAACAGCTATTAGGAAAAGTAAAACCCGCTCACAAAGGAGTCTGTGCACCATCCTGGTTCTAGACTGCTCCGCTGGAGCTTTATGTAAGCCACAGGTGGTTCAGCAGATGCTCGGGTGGAACTGTTCCCACTGATTTTTCTGGTAGTACTTTCAGGTACAAATCTAATGATTCCTGCCCTCTTTCCCCTGGAGAAAATGCACTGAGATGCTCTTGTCTACAGAGGATGGTTCAGTCATTTCAGTGAGGCTACCCTTACACCACAACTTGTTGGTTTCTGATTTGGAAGGCCCGTAAGAGTCAGTTGATTAGTTCCACAGGAAAGTTGCAAAAAAATAAAAGAGGAAAGAAAGAAGAGAAAGATTTTTAAAAAGGCTGCGACTCCATCTGCACAGCACTTTATCCAGCGCTGTCATGCTGAATTTCTAAAACTCAAACCTGCCTTCAGATGAAGGGGTCCTCCCGCCAAGTCCTCCTGAGAAGTCCCAAGCTCTCTGCTGTCACCACCCTCCTGGCACTAACCACACTGCATGAGCCACGACTTTTAACATTGGTGATCGTGGAAGTGCGTGAAACAACTGTGACAAAGAGGAACCAGGCACCACTGAGGAGCAGAACAAGATTCGGTGGCCTCTTCTCCCTCCGCGCTTCTGAAGCACATGGTTCCCTGACCCTCTTCACACACTTGCCTGTCCCTACATGGCAAGCTGCTTGGTTCTCCTTGCCTTTGGGTTTTAATTTCTTTTAGTGCTGGGGATGGAACCCAGGGCCGCACGCGTGCTGGGCCAGTGCTCTGCCTCGGAGCCACAGCCGGCCCGTTTCACTCGCATTTGAGCTTAGTAATGCGGTCTTTGCTGTCAGCAGTCCTCGTTAATCTCCATTTGTTTCTGTCGGGTGCACTCTAGGTTTGCGCAGTGCACGGTGTTGGAGTTCCTCTATTACAATGGACGTCCATCACTGCTGGTTCTATCATTATGACTAATGCTTCTGCCATGAACATTTTTCTTCACATATTTTGTACAAATGTGTGTCTTTTCCAGGGCTATCTAGATGTGTGCCCCAGAGGGGAAGTGGCAGGTGGTAGGGAGTGTGAACACCTGGCCTTATAAGTCACTTTCCAGAGTGGCCGTGGCAGTTGAACTGGCATGGACAGTGTGAAGCGCTCCCGTGCTTCATGTCCTCTCCAAATTAAGAAAGCTCTAACGCTTTCTTACTTTGTGTCAATACAGTAGGTGCAAAATGGTCTTACTGTGAATGACTTTGAGTCTTCTCAGATATTTCTTTGCTATTTTTATTTCTTAGTTTGGAAATTCTTGGTTTATTTTGTCTATTTTTTTCTGTTGAACTGTTTTATCTTATTGATTTTTATGGATTTTTTTATACATTATAAATGACACTTTTATGACTTTTATGTGTTGAAAATGTCTTTTCTTAGCTGGAGTTTCATTTTCTTTATGAAATATTTGGATCAGTAGAAAATTTTAATATATACCAAAATTTTATGATCTTTTATTGTTAGTGTTTGGTTTATCCTATTTAAGAAACCAAATCCTTTCCTGTTTCAAGATCATAAAGATATTCCTCTGAATTTTTTCTGAAACAATGTTGATTATTCCTTTCAAAAACCAGGACTTGGCTCATTGGGAAAGGACTTGCATATGTGGCGAGAGCCTGGGATGTAATGCCACCTGTTTATACATGTAACTATTTGTCCCAAGACACTTCGAGAAGGTCAATATCCTCTCAGTAAAAAGCAATGTGACCACAAACCTCAGGCCATTGGTGCAGAACTGATAAGGAGAGGGTCAGAGGGGGCCTCTGATTCACTCCCGTGCTGGGTAAATAAGTCACCCAGTAAGTCACCCCTGAGCTTGACACCAGCTGCGAGTGCTTCCCAGGTGAACTTAGTACGTTGAGCAGGTTCCTGTTCATTGTTACATTATTGGGTTTTATCGTGGAAGGTTGCTGACTATTGTTAAATGATTTTTCTGCAGCAACTGAAGACATCACATGGACTTCCATTAGTACGGTGAGCTGCAGACCCCCGGTTTTCAGGTGCTAGGTCGGCCTCGTGTCCCAGGATAAGGCTGGACCATGCAGCGTGGCGCAGTGTTGGTCCCGATCCGCTGTATTCTGCATCCACCATCATGAGGTGAGTCAGTCTTAGTTCTTAGTTCTTTTTTCCTTAGTATTTTCTTTTTCTCTTCTTTCTTTTTGGTCTGGTTTGGGCTTGGAATATCACTGGCTTCATAAACTGAGTTGGGAAGTGCTCTATCCTACTCTATTTTTGGAAAGAATGTATGTTGGATTTGCATATTTCCACCTTAAATATTTGACAGAATGTATTAGTGATGCCAACCGGGCCTGCAGTTTTCTTTGTGGAGAGGTTTTTAATTAACACTAAAGTGCTTCGGTTGGCACAGAGCTATTTGAGTCTCCCATTTATTCTCAAGTCTATTTTGATCGCATGAGGCCGTCCAGGAACTGGCCTGTCTCTACAGGTCGTAACGTTTCAGCAGCTAAGGGAGAGACGTTTTCTTTCCTACCCTCAGCTCAGCTGGCCCTGGAGCCCCCTTGACCAAGGCCAGATCAACAGGGAAAGCACACGCACTGGTTTAACTGAGTTTCATTGACACAGTTGGACACTGACACCTTCCTTCAGAAATGAAGTCCCCAAGAAACAGGGAAACTGTGTGCTGTGGTTTAGATATAAGGTGTCCCCCAGGCCCTGTGTCAGCCGAGGCTTGTTTGTGAAGCCAGGTTCACAGAGAGGTAGTCAGTGTAGCTAGGTAAATCAGGTCTCAGATTGAGTGAGATAGATAAAATGGAGGCCATTATGGAGAATGGAGTCCAGGAAAGCAGAGCAGCACCTGGGGAAATTGAAATGTTAATGTCCCCAAGGCCCGGAGCCCGTCCTAAGGAACTGTTAATGAAGCAGCTCCCAGCAAACAGGGGGGTGCTAATCAGAAGCCGCCCCAGGCCCTTCCTGCCCAGAGGACTCCTGCAGCCCACCTCTCCCACCTGTGGGCCTTCCCACCTGCATTCTGTCACTGCAAGATAACGGGGAACAAAGACAGGAGTGTGGGAAGACCAAGAGAAGACCTTAGCTACAGGAGAGGGAAGAGCTCCCCCTTCCACGGACTCCCCCTTTGGTCCCCTTCTTCCTCTGGGGAGAAGGCTTTCTGCTGTCCTTAATAAAGCTTCCACTGTCCACTCTACACTTGCTCAGCGTGCTCCTCTGGTGTCACACTTCAGCATTCGGGGAAGCAAGGACTCGTCACTGGTCAACAGCGGGAACCTTTGGAGGGGGGTGGTTTCGACCGTGAGACCCACCCCATCAGTACGTCCACGTCTGGTGGATGGTGTGGTAACCGCAGGCAGCTGGGTGTGGAGGGGAGAGTGGGTGCTTCCTCCCTGTGGCCCTGTCCCCGGTCCCTCTGCTCCCCAGCCCTCACGTCCTGAGCAGCTTCCCTCTGCCCTGCCCTTCCCAGGATGCACTGCCTCCTCTTGGGCCCAGAGCGATGGACTTGGCTGACCAAGGATTGAACCTCTGACCCAGGAATCAGAATCAACTCCCTTCCCTGGGTTGTCCTCGTCCGTCAGGAGTTTCAGTCACAGCGGGAAAGGCCGGCTCACACACTGTGCGGCTTTACACCCAGGTTTCATGCACAGGGCACCGGGGTGCGCGTGTGACTGGACCAAGGCCGTGGGACCCACAGGTCACACCCAGGGAGCACAGCGAGGCCTTGTTCCGAGTCCTCTCTGTCCCTGTGACTCTGGACAGAAGTGTTCCCTTTCCGTTCCTCTGGGTGGGGAAGCCACCTGCGGATGGGCCTGGCCACCTGGTTCACAGGAAGTCAGAGTCCTTCCGGGGCCTGCTTCAGAGGAGAAGAGCAGAGGTCAGGAGGCCCTGCTTCTGCCCTGTGCCACGTTCTGGGGAGTCTTCACACTCCCCGTTGTAGGCTCTGTTCTCACGACTGTTTTGTCATCTTTATGGTAGGACAACAGGTTGGGCTTTAGGTGAGCAGGGTCTGCAGCGGGTCCCTGCTGTCTTTCCTGAGTTGTTAGTTTGTGTCTTCCTCTTTTTCAGTCAAACTGGACAGATGTGTAGCAACTTTGTTGACCATTTCAAAGAACACCTTTGGGGATCACTTGTATTTTTTCTGTATTCTACTTCAGGGAATCATGTTCTTCTCTATTCATCCCTTCTCTTTGCTTTGGCTTTAAACTCTCTTCTTTTTCTACCTCGTTAAGGTGGAGGCCTAGGTCTTTTGTGTATTTTCCATCCTTTAAAGTAAAACTATTGGAGCTAACAATTTCCCTTATGGATGACATTATCTCCATCTCACGAATTCCGATCTGCTGCATTCTGTGGTCACTCAGTCTACACTACCTACAGTGATCTTCAGGTCGTCTCTATATCATAGTTCCATGGCATTTATCACAGAAATAGAAAAAAACCAAACCAAAACTTTTAATTTTTTTTGAGTTCAAGGGCCCCCAATTGTTCAAAATAATCTTGGGCAAAAAGCAATCACACTTCTTCATTTCATAACATGTTGATTGATGATAATCAAAACACCATGATATCAGTATAAAGTGGACCGTGAACAGGGCCCGGGAAAGAAGTCCCGGAAATGCACCTACCCACTTAAGGTCAACCACTTTCCCACAAAGGGGCCAAGGACACACAGCAGGGATAGGACAGTCTCTTAACAAGTGATGTTGGATATCAGATGTGAAGAATGGAACCGGATCCTGACCTCACACCATATAAAACCCAACTCACCATGGGTGAAAGACTCAAGTTTAAACCCTGAAACTGTAAACTGCCAGGGAAACACACCCAGGGGAGGCCCATGACATGGGAGAGGCAGTGAGCGTCTTGGGTAACTCCTGAAGTTGCAGGCAACCAAAACAAGAGTAGGCAACGGGTGGGTGGAGCTGAGCCGTCTCCCCGCGTACCTGGCGCCACGGCATTAGCGTCTAGGGACCATCCTGTGTACCTCTGACCTTTCCCCTTCTCATGACATATGAACCTCTGTCCAGTGGTCAAGTCCCCCGCCTGCGGTCGCAGCTGCTATCTAGACTGCCAGCACCCCTGCGTGTTCTGCAGGACAGTTGTCATTATCATTTTTGTTTGTAACAGAACATGGTTTATAAAGGGATTAAGGTGAAAGTCAAAAAGGAGAAACAGAAGCTTTGCTTTTGCTTTGGGAATCGGCCTCTTGAGAAGGTTCTCTTAGAAGTTCTGTGGTCTGGACACTCCAGCCATGCCCTTGTTTGTCTCTGTCTCCTCTGGAAGTGTCTTCATTTAACCTCTGTTCCTGAAGGATTCTCTGGATACTGATTTCCAGACGGACAGAGTTTTCTTTTGTTTCCTTTGGCATTTTTGAAATTTTGTTCCATTCTCTTCTGGCCACCACAGTTTCTAAGGAGAAGTTGGCATTAATGGAACTGTTATTTCCAGGGATTTTATTCCATTTTTATTTTGCTGCTTTCGAGGTTTACTGGTTGCTCTTGGTTTTCAACAATGGGGTAGGGAGTCCTTCAGATTGGGCTTTCTGTGGGCTCTGTTTGCTGTTCACTGAGCATCTTGTATCTGAAAACGTCTGTGTTTTAGCACATTTCCAGCCATTGACTTGACAACTGTCCTGTCTGTCCCTTGACCCGTGTCCTCTCCCCTGGTATTCCGATTACTCGAGTGTTGAGTCTGATGTCATCTCCCAGGTCTCCGACGCTGCTCTGTTTAGTTCACTATTCTCTCTCTGTTTACCTTGGGTGGCATCTACCGAGCTGTCATCCAGGTCACTCCATGTCCTTTGTCACAGCCTTCCAACATCAAATCCGTCAAGTATTTTAATTTTTATTTCTACATTTGGAAATTCCCATTTGTTTTCTTTATTGAATCTATTTTTCTGCTGAGATTTCCCATTTCTCTGCCAGGTTCCACTCCCAAGCTTCCACTCCCCATGTTTATGTTAACTCACTGAGGAGGGTCCAACAGCTGTTTAAATCCCTGTCAGCTCAACAGTCGGATTCATTTCGGGTCAGTTGTGATTAGTTTTCTTTTGCATTTAGAGAGTGCTTCATTTTCTTGGTTCGTTGTGTGTCAGGTGACCTTGGGTGATCTCCTGGGGGTGGGGACACCTGGGTTTCGTCATTGCCCTCTGCTGCCCTGGCTAGAGCAGGTGGTTTTCTTTGCGAGGGCAGTGGCTTCACTTGATGCAGATCCTTCATCTTCGTTTAAATGCCCGATTCTCTTCCATGCAGGTCAGGGGGAGGTGCAGGAGGCAGGGATGGGGCCCCTCTCTGCCCTTCCCAAACCTGCCCACCCTCCTGGGGGCCTCTCGAGTCCCACCCCCTTCATCACAGTGCTCCCGCCCTGCTCTGCTCGCCAGCGCGGCACCCCAGACAGCCCGCCAGCCTCCATGGGCCGCTGTCCTTCGTCTCCTTTCTGTGCAGACAGACTGTACTCTTTCAAAACACGTTTTCTTCTCCCTTTGGCAGGGACTACTTGGCCCGTTTCCTTGGCCTGTCAGTCACCTCCTTCGTGCTCTAGCCCGGTGCCTCTTGGCATTCCGACTCTGCCATCCTTATTTTGCATCCTAAACACGGCCAGGCACTTCCTGCCCCTGTCCCTGGGCTGCGGTGCTGCCTGCAAAGCCCTTTTCTCCTGCAGACGAGAGCTGCTGGGCTCGGGGAAAGGCCACCTCCTGGGTAAGGTGACCCCTCTGCCTCCCCTCTGCACAGCACATTCTGCTCATGCTCACTCCCTCCCGCGGGCTAGCGCTCTGCCTGTTCTGCCTCTCTGCACCCGAGAGTGGCTCTGAGGGAGGAGCGCCCTGCTGCTGTCCTTGGGGACACTAGTGCAGTGACAGTGTGAGACCAGGTGATGAATACACGTAGGATGAGCTGAGAAAGTGAATGCCACGGGAGTCTGCTTCACCGGGTCTCTACCCTGCGTGAGCCCACAGGCAGAACCAATCACGGGAGCAACGCTGGGCAGGGAGGGCTCCCGCTGGAGTGAGTGGGCTGGGAGGACGGTGGTCATTCAAATGATACCTGAGGGAATGTCACGGGAAGCTGCCCACCGTCTCTTCCCCATCACTGCAGAGCAGTGGGACGTTCCACAGGGCGGGCACCGCTGCCATGCCATGGGATGGGGGCAGGGAGGGAAGGATGCAGGGTGGGGGCAGGACGCAGAGCCCGAGGTCCTAGGGACGCTTTCCCAGGGAAGCTGAGGCGCCACCGGCCACACAGGCAGTGGTCTGCATTTTAATCATGCGCTGGCCTCACTGCTCCGTGCATGGGGGGAGCTTGTGGGAGCGGAAAGCACGACCCAGCAGAAGTCAGTGGCCCTGGTGGCCAGCACAGGGGAGGCCATTACTTCCCATTCTAATCTGTTCCCTCAAACTATGATATAAAACCCTGTAACGATCAGAACAGATAATTTTTCTGACTCTTCCCCAAATAAGGTCACAGTGACCGGCTCCGAGCAGCACAGGTCAGCTGGCCGTCCGCTGCCCCTTTGCTTGGCAGACTGCCTTCTTCCAAGCACCTTCCGGAGGCCACCCCTACCTACGTGGAAACGTGCAGTGTCACGGCTGCTCTGGGCACCACTTAACAAGAGGGCCACGTCGGTTCTCATTCCCAGGTGCGACGCGCACGTGCTGCGCAGGTGAACACCACAAAGCACTGTGCAGAGGAACAGATCTTAATTCTTCATGATGTACACGGTGAGTGGGGCAAATGTGATACTTTGATGAATTTCTTAATTTTAAATAATTGCTAAAAGAAACAGTGTTTGATTGCCTGTTGTATCTTCTTTTCCAGCTCTAATTTAGTTGCATTTACCTGTGTTCTGATAACAAGTCGTGTATGGCATACAGACATCCTAAGAGAGTCAAGATGGATACAATGGTCATAAAACATGGGTCTGTAATCCCTAGCACCCACACTGCAGTCTTGCAATTTCATCTGCACCCACGAAGCAGGATTCCTTCTGTAAATGGCCGATTCCAGATCTGGGATAGGAAATCTACGCCACCAAGGAAGCTACCAGAGCCTATTAGAGCCCCAGCGACAGGACCCAGGAGCCAGCCTGAGGGAGGCTCCCACTGCCCAGGACAGGTCCAGGAGCATCCAGGAGAACAGTCATCACAATGGGCCCAAGTTGTCAGCCCTGAACCATGAGCTTAAGGTGATACTCACACAATCAACAGGCCATTCAGCAGATCACCATGGAGATGCTGTAGGTCCACAGTAACTGAAAAACTAGTGGGAAAAGGGAAGTCAGGAAGCTTTTCCCTCTTTCCTAGCAACAGGTATCACTGAATGACCAATAGACAGGCCAAAGTCTCCTCTGTAGGTGGACCCTAGATATTGCCTGACAGACACGGATGGAATGAGCGTGATGTCCTAGTGGAATAAGACATGGGTCATTGGTGGCTGCGAGTGACACAGAATGGGACAAGCAGCATGGGACGGCAGCCACACCAGCAGGAATAAGTGCCCCCCAACAAGGGAGCAAATGACAGTGGGAGTAGACCTGATGCTAGACCTAGCTAGGACAGTGGGAGATGCACGGCAGAGGAACCTTAACCACAGCCACGCACACAACAGGAGACCAAGAATGGCCAGGATAATGGCAGATGCTTCCACCAATGACCGTGCTGCTTAGCCACAGGTCACTGATGGACCGTGGGACAACACTGTCAAGAAACTGTGGCTCCCTGTGGTTCTTCAGGGTGGTGCGGTGGCCACACTTTTCTATCAACAGGAAGGCAGTCCTGACTCCCCAGGTGTGCCTGGTGGACTCTCCAGGTGTGTCCGGTGGGCTCCCCAGGTGTGTCCGGTGGG